TTATTCGTTTATGTGTAAAAATAAAAAAGTGCATGCTTTTTTGGGCCCTCACTATACAACAATTAAACAGCAAACCTATGAAGCTTGTCTACTATTTTGGAATTTCTGATCTTGAGGGAGGGTGTGGGTGGATGTGGATGAAGAAGTAATCAGCTTCCACACCCACACACATCCACACCCTCGCCCACACCTACACAACCACACCCACACCCTACTGATATGATTTCTGAAAACCCATTTGGCTTTCGAAAATCCATTTCCTACCTTGAAAGTCATTAACTTTCCTGGCAGATCCTATAAGGCGTCAAATGATAAAAATATACCCATATACCGCTTATCCCGCTAATATCGCTTATACCACTAATACCGCTATAGCTGTATAAAAACATACTCTGACATTGCTATACCGCTACAGCGGTATAAAAATATAACCTTATATCACTAATCCCGTTAATACCGTCGAAACCGCTATTGCGGTATAAAAATATACCCTTTTACCGCATATACCACTAATACCACTATAGCTGTATAAAAAATACCCTTATACGGCTTATGCCGTCATACCACTACAGCGGTATAAAAATATATCCTTATACCGCTTATACCATTATACCGTTATAAAATATAGCGATAAAAGTTTATTTTGTCGCAAGATGAGATGATTTTAAAGAATGTTATTTTGCCACAAATTCAAATTCCCCATCTTATGCCTTTTTTCCGAATTTTGAGTGCAGCAATTTTTCTTCAACAGTTTTAATGAAGAGCTGTTCTTCTTCTTCTTCTTCTGTTTCTTTTTTCTCTTACAAAAATCTCATGATTATAGTTCATTCTTCATGAACCATTTATAAGAACGATGCGACAATTGTTAATACATTTTTTTTTGTTTTTTTTTAATACTTCTAATCTTTTTTACCAAAAAATTAAAAAGAGTATGAAGAAGAATGCTCTTGATGTTACAAACAAATGTTGGATATTTGTATTTATGTCTTATGTTAGTAATGCTTGATTGAGCATTTGATATTTTTATGATAGATATATGAATTAATGATCATTAGTTTTCTTTTATTTTAAGAATTTACTTTTACTTTGTCGGTTTCGAACAATGGCAAATGATGATACAGCTGACACCTTATTTAGACAAATTGATACAAATCGGAATGGACGGTATAAATTAAGAATTTAAATCAAATAATAAATACATATATATGTATTTAGTATTGATAAAAGTGAATTTCGAAATTGGTTTTCAAATACTGAAGGATTGACTACATCAAATGAATCAATAGCTGGTGTACCTAATCGTTATGATGATACTACTAGTCGATTTGGTCGATGTCGATATACAGATAGTTATCATGATGATTTGGGATATATGGTTGATAAATATAGTTCATATGGAACTAGGAGATGGATTGATGATACGGTGGTTGATACAAATAGTCCAGAAGAAACCAATTGTTATCTGGAAAAATCAGGTACGAATATTTATCATGATCCTAATCCAAAAATTATTCGACGAGCAAGAAGTTCAAGTCCAGTAACACTTGAACAACGAGTTCTTGTTCGATATCTTCAACCACCAGCTGTACCACCACCAGGAGTAATGAAATACATTGTTTACAAGTTCAATTCTATTAACCTTTTTATGATTTTAGCCACTCATTATTAAAGAAGTGCGCCCACGACAACCATCGCCACCTCCACCACTTGTCATACGCGAATATGCACCACCTCTTCCTTCACCACCTCCACTTATTTTACGTGAACGACCACCAACACCACCAAAATATATTCCTAGTGAAACAAGTTAGAAAAAAATAAACTTATATTACATAGTTTAGATATATCAATGCATTTTATTTTACAGTTATTCGTACCTTACCTGCTTTACCTGTTCCACCACGATCAGTTATCATCGAACGTTTTCCACCTCCTCCAGAAAAACCACGTAAAAAAATTATGTTCATTTTTCTTTTTTGTTTTCTTTTTATTTCAGATTGTTATTTTTTTCCTATTGAGGTGATATTATTATTGAACGATGGATTCCCTATGGGCCTCAGCCTAAACGGCGTACAATTGTTGAACATGCTCCTCCAGCTATCGAATATCCACAACCATCTAACACTACTATTATTTATTCTGCTGCTGAAACACGTATAGTTCGAAAATATCAAGAACTTGGTGTTACTCCGGAAGATCCTGAATGTTATAGAGCTCGTTATGGATCATCACTTTTAGATTCAGTAACACTTGTTCAACAAGCTCGCAACGCTGGTGTTATTGAAGATATAGTAAACTTTTTTCATAAACAAAATACCTCCAGAAAAAAACTATATACATCTTTTATTGTAGTCGCCTCCAGCACGATCATCTTCAGTATATACAACTACATGTGGATGTCCTGTTTATTTTGATCGATCGGATGATATAATCAAAAGAGATTATTCATCAACAGTTCGAACTATTATTGAAGAACACGACTAATACATTAAAAACACTATTTGACTGAAATTCATCATTTTTCTATTTAAATATAGTAGTTTTTTCTTGTAGTTTTTATAACGGGGCATATAAATTATATAATCAAAGACAGGGAAATAAAAATAAAACAAAGATTGATCATACATCACTGCTACCACTATCAACTAAATCACCTTTTCTTGTATACTATGTTGGTATTACTGTAAACAAGCTGTTTCTATTGTATCATATTATATATTGGCATAATATAATAATTTGTTACTCAAAAAGACGATTATTTTTATGAATATAATAATCATTTTTTGAATATGTTATTTGATAATGTATTTCGATAATAATCGATATGTTTTATTGTTATTGATGCTATTTAATATAAATGTCTGTGTTGCTGGTATAAATACTATTTCATGAAGTTCACAAAGATTTTTAGAAAAAACTTCAACTTGATCTAACTTTCTACCATATATGTGTATTAGAGGGTTTCCGAGTGTGGGGTGTGTGTGTGCGTGTAGATGTGACTGTGGGGTGTATGTGTGGGTGTTGGGTGGATGAAGGAGAGATTCATTCACAGCCACATGCAAAGTCACACCAATACTTATCCATATTCCACACCTACACCCACACGCTCAAAAACGTTTGCTTTTTCCTAGTAAAATCCAAAACTTTTCTTGTGTTCTGTTAGTAAAAAAAAGGTACACTCCTTCCCCACCCCAAATTATCAAAAACTTAGTCTCTACTCCCAAAAAAGTTCATTACACCCCTCCCTCTCCCATAATTTCGGTTGATTCGGGTCAGCCCTTTAAGCAATGCAAGTGATTGATCGGTTGTGCTATAGTGTGAATAAATTATATATGATACATGCCTTTTTTTTCTTTCTTTCTTCTTTTGCTACACATATATATGTAGTTCTTTTCTTCTGTTCCTTTTCTTTCTTCATATTCAGGAATTTTCCATAAAGTGATCTATTTTGATGCGCCTCTAAGGCATTTTCCCTTTCGGTCATGTTTTCTTCCGACTAGGTCATTGCTATGTACAGTGACTGTTTTTGAAAAAAGAAAAAGAAAAAAGATTAATATAATCGATCAGTTAGATCGAGATTACTTGGAAACATTGGTGCACTAGTCCAGTGCTCTTGTCAATTCTTCATCACAAGAGAGAATCTCAATAAGTATTATTTTATTCTTTCGGTTATCTAATATATGTTAATAAAAATATGGCCCATCGTCAACAATTATTTCTGTCCATCAATGATAATTATGACGCCTTGATGAATTGTTCGAATTAACAATTTTCTCCGGTTCTTTTTCGCGAGATGTTATTATTTGGCTCAACAATTTCGATCGAAAATATGACAATATTCTGTTTCATGATTCTCAAAGATTGGTGCCCAGACAGACAAACTTTTGAGAAAACGCGTTTAAACTCACAGAAATTGGCCTAAAATCAGCAAAAAGTGGACGTTTTTGGCTCACACTTGAGGTTCCCGACTATAAGCCAAAAGCGCCCATTTATCGCCCTTTTTGTGCGTTTAAACTCGTTTTCAGACAAAAAACGCGTTTACATGCATACAAAAAGGAGAAAAAAGTTGTTGAGTTTTTCCAGTTCAAGAAACGTGACTGTAATCATGATCGTGCATCCCGAGTATGAAGAAACAACCACCTTTTCTCTTTTTTGTATCCGTGTAAACGCGTTTTTGTCTGAAACAAGAGGGAAACAGCTGACTTCAAGACTTCAAAAGACTTCAAAAGACTTCAACAGACTTCAATGGACTTCAACCTCAGTGACTTCATATTTTCACAAGACTTCAAAAGAGTTCTAAAGACTTCTGAAGACTTCATGGGACCTCAAAAGACTTCAAAAGACTTCCGAAGACTTCGTTAGACTTTACAGACTTCGTGAGACTTCACAGACTTCATGAGACTTCACGAATTTCATGAGACTTCAGAGACTTTGTAGGACTTCTTGAGACTTTATAAGACTTCATCAGACTTCATAGGACTTCATAAAACTTCACAAGACTTCACAAAAATTCATAAGACTTCCCAAGACTTCAAGAGGCATATTCCATGCGTATCAAAAAACGTTTCTTATGAATTTTCATGCACTAAATGTATTTCAAAACTTTCAGAAGAATTCATGAGACTTCATTAGACTTCAAAAGGCTTCAAGAGACTTCATGAGACTTTAGGAGACTTTCTGAGAATTCATAAGACTTCAAGAGACTACAAAAGACTTTCAAGACTTCATGGGACATCATGGCTGAAGTCTCTGCTGTTTCCCCCTTGGTCTGCAAACGCCTTTAAACGCACAAAGAGGGCGATAAATGGGCGCTTTTGGTTCACAGTCGGGAACCTCAAGTGTGAGCCAAAAACGTCCAATTTTTGCTGATTTTAGGCCAATTTCTGTGAGTTTAAACGCGATTTCTCAAAAGTTTGTCTGCTTGGGTGGTAGTTTGTCAGCTGATGGCAAACAACGCCAAATTATGGATCGACATACATAGACGTATTTTTCAAGACTAGACAACGTTTCAAGCTGAATTGATTGCCTACCTTCAGCGTACTCCAAGCTCCATTCAATTTTCTTACGGTCAAAAATTATTCAACCAACGACAACAACCCAACATATCGGTCAATTGGTATTACATTTTTCATTAGCAGCATATCACCGATTAGATAAAATAGCATCAAATCAAAACCGAACAAGATCGATCGACCATAGCTGTTCAAGCTCACCGCACTTTATTTAAACTACATCGACAGTCATGTTTGTATCCTGTCGGAACAGAAGTGGAATGGCCAATTGGAGCTGAATCTCAGCACATACATGATATTGCCCAGTGAAAAATATTCACTGATTTCAATCGAACTTTTCTAAAACAAAATCAAAATTAAAATCGATTGATAATTTTCATTATCGTTGATCATGACTTAACTATTACTTCATATTGTTACTTATTCAGTGTGAAATTTCCTAATTAAAATCGAATTATTTTGCAACAAAATCGAAATTGGGTGTGGGCGTGGGTGTGGATGTGGGTGGATGTGGGTGTGGGTGTGGATGGATGGGTGTGAGTGTGGATATAAATAGCACCTACAGTCACCGATATCTTCATTGAAACCCACACCCACACTCCACGCCTACACCCACACCCACATCCAGCCGCACACACACCTTGCTTTCATGTTGAGTTATGTTATTTGCAAGGAATGAGAGTCAAAGAACATATTATTATCGAAAGTGCACATAGCGCATAATAGGTAGAGGATATGCTTTTATTTTATTTTCTTTCTGATGTTTTCGATGACATCCAATTGTGTAGTGTCATGGATTTATTTACGAAGCGGCGCGACCCATATATTTCCCAACAATTTTGCCGTCTCGCCAAAGTCTTTGCATTTCCTATCACCAATACCAACAAAACCACCCGACGGAGCACAAATACGATTGCATTCATCGTCGAAAAGCGGATTCATTCGATCACAGCAGCCACTTGTAGCCAGATAAGTCAATTTGCCACGATATACATAACTGTCGATGCTAATATAAGGACTTCCTCCAGGTGTGCCATACATTGAATCAATCATGTTTTGAATACATTCTGGAATCTCAAGTTTAGCTGTTGATGGCATCATAAGAGCAATAACAAAGATTGCAACTGTAATCATGATAGTCTTCATACTTTTCTATTCGATCTAAAACTTGAAACAGACGAAAGCATTTTTGTTAACAAAACGCCTCGAGTGATTGTCTTTGCTCTGTAATGCTGTATGCTTTTATGGCATTAGATTGATTTACTTGCACCTGTATGCTGTTCTCACCATGTCTAACGAGTGTCAATATATTCAAGCATATACTTATCTCTGTTCACATGGCGGTTGTATTTGGTGTGATCGCTTGGAATAGCATCGATTTTCACACTTTTTGATAGAATCGAACGTATATTCAAATACTCTACAATTACTGCAGAGTCAATATCAATGGCAAACAACGTCGAAAACATTGACGGCAGATTCGAAGCTTGTCCCGGCTAAAATTCACTTACTAAGATACTGCTTTTTGTGTATCAAATGCGCCTGACATCAATATAACTTTCGTGAAATTTCATTCGTGAAATTCTGCGAAATATAAAAAGAGCATTATTTTCGACATAAGTTTTACCAAGAAAACGATCTCACTTTTCATAATATTCGTTCAATCATCATGTCAGTATCAGAGTTAATTGCGTCATTCGCAGCTCAACGAGTTTTAAGTAGTGGTATGAGAATCATCTCAATCGATCAAGGAGTGTGGTCAAGACTTCGAAATTCACGAAAGAACACTCCAAGGCATTTATTCATTTTCGGCTCGAGACCATGCATATCATGCCAAATCGAATGAGTTGTGCGTATCCTAAAAAGAGTTCGTTTCAATAGCCTGTTTCTGCGGAGATGTCCAACCTTCATAGTATTCTGAAGTATTATTCTCTGACTCCTTCAGAGTTACCAGAAAATGAATTTCGAATTTTCACTTCATAATTTGCATACATGAAGCTCTCAGGCTGGATGTGAGTTATTCTCCTTCAATCACCAATACCTACATCCACCAATACCCAGACCCAGACCCACATCCACACTCATCCGTAATGGATTTATGTATGGCATATATCATCTGAAAACTTACAAATATCGATATACTTTAAGGAAGATAATGTCAAGATTTTTGAAGACAATTATTGAAAATTTGAAATAGACATACGATCTTCCTTACTCTTGGCTTTTTTTTAATTATTACTGAGAATAAACAATAGGCCATGTGCGCATATGCTGTGATCGATGTTGAAGAAAAAAATATACTTTTTTTTAATAAAAGAGAGAAATAAGAAAATTTTCTTATCAGATAAAATAATTTGATAATTTCAATTAATCGATAAGGTTAGATTAATGCATGGAACTAATTTGTGTAAATGTTTCGCCTAAATTATTTTCGAATTCCTTGAAGATCGATGTATTTTCAAATAAAAGAGTCGTATGAAGAGAAAGTCAATAAATAGGTTTGATTGTGAATTAAATGAGTTTGTACCCTCTATGTTGGATGTATAAAAAACAAAAAGAAAGGAAAAATGTTAAACGACGTTTAACGTTTTGTATTTTGTTGTAGCCAACAATAATATTCTCGTGAATTATATTGATTTTTACTTTAAAATTTATTTTTTCTTTAGAGATAAATATTGTTAATTTGTTTTTGCTCAAATAAATTTGATTAAATAAAAATAAAAACCAACGAGCTTCCGGCTAGTTAGTATCAACAACAGCAAAACTTGATGGATTAAATGTTCATGCTGTGGAAGTGGTTTCTTCATTTGGGTCAGGATTTTCATTTGGTTTTAAAACAGCAAATGTTCCAATACCAGCAGTATCTAAAACTCCTCCATCAACATCAGTTACTGTTCGACATAGAAATAAAAATGAAATCAATCAAAGTAAAAAAGAAGTAACTGTGAATAGAAATCAAATCAGATGATCAACAACAAATGAAGGAAGGGTTTCCAACTAGTGGAGGAAATCAATATCTTGATGACAGGTCCCGCGCGAGCGGAGGTGTAGGGGTGTGTACACACCTCCCCCTCCCCACCCAAATCAAAAATTTTCAGTTTTCTCCAACTACAAGAGCAGATTTTGTCTATATTCTATGATTTTTCTGCAAGACTTTTCTGAAAATACTCCCTCACCCTCCTCCCCGGCCCCTAACATTTGATTCTTCGCATAGGCCCTGCTGAACGATGATAATGATAGTTCGTTTTTAATTATTTTTCTTTGAATATTTAGGAATGATGGATAATTCAACAACGACACTAAATCAAACAAATTCCACTGTTGCTTCAAGAGTTCCAAAGGAAAAGAAAAATGTTGTTGTGAAATGAGATGTCATACAAAAAAGGGTGTGGGTGGATGTGGGCGTGTGGATGATGGTGGGTCTGCGTTTGGATGTGGGTATAGATATGGGTGTGGATATCCACTTCAACTACGTTAATATTCGTACCCCACACCCATACTCACACCTACACTCGTTCACATCCCATACCCACACACCCCGATTTAGTTGCTTTTGCTATTTGATCGTTTTAAAATAGTAGAAAGTTCTTTTTGAATAAAATGGTTTTGGTGAATCTGTTTTGTCTCATTTTTGAGCTTCTAGCAAACTGATAGTTGTCGCAAGAAACTCTATTTTACAAAATTTCCATACGTAAAACTTTTTAACCTAACGACCTAAGAACGAATCTAACAAGTATTATCACAAATATCATCGATGCTGTTTTTTGTGTGCTACATTTTAGCGTATCTTGTAAAGCATACTTTTTTGTGAGAAAAAATTATGCTTGAAGTTTTGAGTCTGGATTCTGCTTCTTCGCTTTCCAACACACAGACTCTAGTGACCCGGTATAAATATCAATTAGAAAGCTATGATAATAGTATAAAACAGACTTTAGCCAAAAACATCATCTAACTTACATAAAGTATGTTAGTTTTACATTCTTACCACAAAGAGACTGAGCCGACAATCTTTTTGATTCAAATTTGATTTATATAGCTAAAAGTTCTTTGCAAAATAGTCTTTTCAAGTGGTAACAATGTTTTATCGAGACATTGCTTCTAGAGTTGAATAATTCATGCAAAGACTATTGTTCATTTTATATTAATGTAAATCTTAATCTAATGTCAATTGAATTTGTTATCTATTGAAATTTATCTATAAGAATCTTCGAACTAGGCTCTAGTCTGAATTTATTATTCATGTTAATACAGATGATAGATTCTACGTATTTCGATGATTTTATTCTAATTTATATTCTACTACATATCTGTATTGTCGAGGAAGCAAAACAGACTGCAAAGTACAAAATCGTTCTGAAATTTATGTTCTCTAAGGATATTTCAAAGTTGTCCTCCAAACATTCTTAGCTATTTTTACTGTACTACTGGCGTGTGCCACGAAAATATCTCTCTGGTATAATGAAGTATTTCGGCTTTCGATTCGAAAAGATCTGTAACTAAAGATGCTAAAAATACACATTCATGTCATACTTCTGTAGTAGACTTCAAATGGCTAAGAAGGTTTCGAGAATAATCTTGAAACATTCCTGAAGTACGAAATCTTCGCTTACTATGTGAAATTTGAAAGAGAGAAACGATTTCATAAGAATGTCGAAGCTAGAGTTTTTTCTTAGAAAGTGTCTATAAAGAGATGCACAGCCTTCTGAGACGAAGCAGCTGTAGCAATACCTCTGCAACAAGCGTTTATGTGTTTTCAGCTTTAACTCTAACTCTATCTCATTCTTCAAAGGAATAACACTCTACTTTGAAGTAATTGTTATATATTTATAGGAGATTGTAACGTCTGATCTGAAAGGCATCATCAAGATGGTAAAAATACATAAAATTCTACTAACATGCGGTGCAAAAGTCTTTGCAAAAATGTTCGACTCTATTAG